AGAAATTATTATCAACAACTATATGCCAATAAACTGAGCAATCTGGATGAAATGGAGGCCCTCCTGGAAACCTATAAGCTGCCAAGACTGAAACAGGAAGAAATTGACAACCTGAATAGGCCAATAACCAGTAACGAGATTGAAGCAGTGATCAAAAACCTCCCAAAAAACAAGAGTCCAGGGCCTGATGGATTCCCTGGGGAATTCTACCAAACATTCAAAGAAGAAATAATACCTATTCTACTGAAGCTGTTTCAAAAAATAGAAACAGAAGGAAAACTTCCAGACTCATTCTATGAGGCCAGCATTACCTTAATCCCCAAACCAGGCAAAGACCCCATCAAAAAGGAGAATTTCAGACCGATATCCCTGATGAATATGGATTCCAAAATCCTCAACAAAATCCTAGCTAATAGGATCCAACAATACATTAAAAGGATCACCCACCACGACCAAGTGGGATTTATCCCCGGGATGCAAGGGTGGTTCAACATTCACAAATCAATCAATGTGATAGAACACATTAATAAGAGGAGGGAGAAGAGCCATATGGTCCTCTCAATTGATGCAGAAAAAGCATTTGACAAAATACAATATCCTTTCCTGATTAAAACTCTCCAGAGTATAGGGATAGAGGGAACATTCCTCAATTTCATAAAATCCATCTATGAAAAACCCACAGCGAATATCATCCTCAATGGGGAAAAGCTGAGAGCCTTTCCCTTAAGATCAGGAACACGTCGAGGGTGCCCACTCTCACCACTGTTGTTCAACATAGTACTAGAAGTCCTAGCAACAGCAATCAGACAACAAAAAGAAATAAAAGGTATTCAAATTGGCAAAGAAGAAGTCAAACTCTCTCTTTTTGCAGACGACCTGATACTTTATGTGGAAAACCCAAAAGACTCCACCCCCAAATTACTAGAACTCATCCAGCAATTCAGTAATGTGGCAGGATACAAAATCAATGCACAGAAATCAGTTGCTTTCTTATACACTAACAACGCAACTGTAGAAAGAGAAATTAAAGAAACGATTCCATTTACAATAGCACCAAAAACCATAAGATACCTCGGAATAAACCTAACCAAAGAGGTAAAGGATCTATACTCTAGGAACTACAAAACACTCATGAAAGAAATTGAAGAAGACACAAAAAGATGGAAAAATATTCCATGCTTATGGATCGGAAGAATAAACATTGTTAAAATGACTATGCTACCCAGAGCAATCTATACCTTCAATGCTATCCCGATCAAAATTCCAATGACATTTTTCAAAGTGCTGGAACAAACAATCCTAAAATTTGTATGGAATCAGAAAAGGCCCCGAATCGCCAAGGAGATGTTGAAAAAGAAAAACAAAGCTGGGGGCATTACATTGCCCGATTTCAAGCTATATTACAAATCAGTGATCACCAAGACAGCATGGTACTGGCACAAAAACAGACATACAGACCAATGGAACAGAATAGAGAACCCAGATATGGACCCTCAACTCTGTGGTCAAATAATCTTTGACAAAGCAGGAAAAACATGCAATGGAAAAAAGACAGTCTCTTCAATAAATGGTGCTGGGAAAATTGGACAGCCATATGCAGAAGAATGAAACTCGACCATTCTCTAACACCACTCACAAAGATAAACTCAAAGTGGATGAAAGACTTCAGTGTGAGACAGGAATCCATCAAAATCCTAGAGGAGAACATAGGCAGTAACCTCTTTGACATCGGCGACAGCACCTTCTTTCAAGATACATCTCCAAAAGCTAGTGAAACAAAAGCAAAAATGAACTTTTGGGACTTCATCAAGATAAAAAGCTGCACAGCAAAGGAAACAGTCAACAAAACAAAGAGGCAACCCACAGAATGGGAGAAGATATTTGCAAATGACACTACAGATAAAGGGCTGGTATCCAAAATCTATAAAGAACTTCTCAAACTCAACACCCAAAAAACAAATAATCAAGTCAAAAAGTGGGCAGAAGAGATGAACAGACACTTCTCTGAAGAAGACATACAAATGGCTAACAGACACATGAAAAAATGTTCATCATCATTAGCCATCAGGGAAATCCAAATCAAAACCACACTGAGATACCACCTTACACCAGTTAGAATGGCCAAAATGGACAGGGAAAGAAACAACAAATGTTGAAGAGGTTGCGGAGAAAGGGGAACCCTCTTACACTGTTGGTGGGAATGCAAGTTGGTACAGCCACTTTGGAAAACAGTGTGGAGGTTCCTCAAAAATTTAAAAATAGAGCTACCTATGACCCAGCAATTGCACTCCTGGGTATTTACCCCAAAGACACAGATGTAGTGAAAAGAAGGGCCATATGCACCCCGATGTTCATAGCAGCAATGTCCGCAATAGCCAAACTGTGGAAAGAGCCCAGATGCCCTTTCAACAGATGAATGGTTAAAGAAGATGTGGTCCATATATACAATGGAATATTACTCAGCCATCAGAAAAGATGAATACCCAACTTTTACATCAACATGGATGGGACTGGAGGAGATTATGCTAAGCGAAATAAATCAAGCAGAGAAAGTCAATTATCATATGGTTTCACTTATTTGTGGAACATAAGGAATAGCATGGAGGACATTAGGAGAAGGAAGGGAAAAATGGGGGGGGGAATTGGAGGGAGAGATCAACCATGAGAGTATGGACCTGAGAAACAAACAGGGTTCTAGAGGGGAGGGGGGAGGGGGGATTGGTTAGCCCGGTGATGGGTATTAAGGAGGGCACGTAGTGCATGGAGCACTGGGTGTTATACGAAAACAATGGATCGTGGATCAGTACATCAAAAACTAATGATGTTTTGTATGGTGACTAACATAATATAATAAAATTAAAAACTAAAAAAAAAAAAAAAAAAGAAAAAAACCAAAAAGAAATGTAGAAATGGGAGATGTGTGTGTGTGCTCCCAAAACAAGAGAGGTATTTAGGGGTGACTGGGTGGCTCAGTTGGTTGAGTGTCTGATTCTTGGTTTTGGCTCAGGTCGTGATCTTCGGGTCATGAGATTGAGCGCTGCATTAGGCTCTGTGCTCAGTGGGGGGTCGCCTTGAGAATTCTCTCTCACCTTTACCCCCTCCTCCCACTCGCATGTGCTGGCTGCACTCTCTTTCTAAATAATAAATAAATGAATACTTAAAAAAAACCACACCCAAACCCAAGATTGCTAGTTAAAGTGCTCTTCACCTGTCAGAATGCAACTTCTACTCTGAGGACCTTTAAGAAAGTAAGTGCTTCATTTTCTGGGGGAGAGGAGCTTTAATTAATGTGCTGCTTATCACCTTCTTTATAATGTAGATTGATAATTATTAGCTTCACTATATATATTATAATAAGATCTTATAAAACAAAATATTGTTATACTTTATGTAATATATATGCAATTGTTATAATATAAAACAAAAATTATTAAAATAAAGGTCCAAACCCCTCACTCAAAACTCAACTACCATAGCACAATAACTATTGCTGTTTTTGCATCCTATCCCCTATATGTCTTAGTTCACATGTAGGCATAATTTTATGTAACTGCAAGCATGTACATGTAATTTTTATATCTTCTTTCTTTACGTATAATAACACAGATCATTTCTTACACCATAAAGTCAGCATTGTAACTTTTATTAGCTGCATGTTTCAGGTCTTCCTAGAAATTCAATAGATGTGGAAGTAGAATTATTCCAGACTTGTTGAAAAAATTTTAGGAGTGCTATAGACCATTGTGCTGAGTTTCAAAAATCCATGGATGAGAGGATTTAGATGAGAATCATCATAGGACATTTTTTTCCCCCTGTGGCAGATGTGAATCACTTTTTCTTTTGACTGAGTTAGAAAGGTGAAGATGTGTTGACTTAATCTTTGGTGAATACAGGATGCTAATATAAGTTTTGATTGTATAAACTAGTCTCTGTGCAGCAAGATGCCATGTTCCAGGTGAGTAAGAGAAGTGAAAGCAAAATCTGCCTGCATTACCAAAGCATGAATCATTGCCTTATAGATACGCACTTCACAGACTCATAACTTTCATATTAAAACTATCCTGACCCATTTGCCTTACCACCAGAATCCACAGGACCACAGAATATACTTTGGGGGAAGAAATTAGGATTGTTAGGGGATCTGTTGGGTCACAGGCAGAGAAGAAAGCATCTTACAAAAGCAGGAGCAGAAACAGGACATGGCGTATGCTCTGAGGTATGGAAGGGTGGGTACAGGGTGGGCAGCAGCCCAAAGCATGCATGAATACATGGCCACTCCAAGCAGAGTTCTGGATGTTTCTCAGTTATACCACTTGGGATTTGATCAGCCAAATTATTCATTTACATTTAAAAGTATACTTTAAAAAATACACAAATATGTCTTTGCAGATTATAGAACTGTGGTTATTTCAAATTAGTAGAAATTTGTGTCTTCAAATTACTTTCTTCTCAAAATTGACCTGACAGGAGCAACATTATGAAAATGGTGTTTTAATTGAGGGAGGAGATAGTAGGTATTCTAGGTTAACAAAGCATTCTGAGAATAGGGCAGGTAGTCCCTGAACAAGGTATCTGTTGTCAGAAGTTAAGAAAGGGAGGTGGGAAGATACAAAAAAATAAAGCTTCCCTACTGCAAGTATTTTCAGGTATTAGTGCTAAAAAAGAGTTTTCTGATCTTCATGGTCCCTTGCTCCTCAGACCCAGAGCACATAAGACTGCAGTGGTACTCTATATACAGTTTAGTTACAAGATGGGTAGATAACTTCATGTCAGCCTGTGAAGCAAGCTACCATCAAAGCATTGTTGAGATCATAAAATGTTATGGGGACTCAACATGCTTGTCCTAACAAACTGTTACAACATGATGCACGGAAGTCGGGGACCCTTTCGTGAGCTGTTAGTTTCTGTAGTCTAAATTTCTTTGATGGCAAATTTGGTTATCTGTAGCAGTCATTTATGTTGGAGGTGAACCAACGTGCACATTTCACAGACTGCCTTACCTGCCCTGCTTTGGCATTTTCACACACAAAAGCTTCATAGAATCTGGGGAATTCTGGAGCATTGTCATTCACATCTAAGACTTTGATTGTGACGGAAACACTTCCAACCTGGGAAGGATTGTCTAAAGAGAACACAGAGAAAACCAAAAGGTGAGGGTTCAGTAGTACAAGAAAGCAGCTCTTTGCTGGAAAAGGTATTTACCTTGTCAGTTTGGTTTTTTAAAGGAATGGATAAAGAACTTGGAAATGGCGAGAGAAACATAGGATGCGTGTGCTGCCTAGTAAGAGTGCGGTCAGCACACAAGATGCGTGGGCGGACTGCGGTGTGTGTCTGAGGGAGTGTGTGATGTCAGGAGGATGAAGAGAAGAGTAGGACTCTGAGGCGGGTGGGGGGGCAGGTATCATACAATGCAGCTTAAAAAGGTTTGAATCTCTCACTTGGCTCACGCTTCAGTTTCTGAAATTAAAGACAGGTCAGTTCCGTATTCTGGGCTTGAAAACAGCCCATTTCGGACTGGATGCCTACTGCGTGGCATTGCTTGGCTTTATTCTTGTGGAATAATCAGTTCTTTGAATTATATTTCAGAAGGTTTCAAGTTATTCCTGGGAATACAGATAACACTGCACATTTATTTCTGCTTAGGGACTAAGGGGTTATTCTAGGATCAAACACACACCAAATCTGTATCTTTGGCTGGGGCAGGAGAAGTTATTCATAGTCACTCATGGGGAAATGTGTCTTTTGGTCTGTCTTTTGCTTGGCATTGCCACACAAGGACAATTTCACAGCCGCAGGATTGCCCCTCCTGTCCTTTTTTGTTTTGGCCACATCCGAAGAAGATAAAATAGAAATTAACAGATTATTCTTAGTAAATAATTTTATAAAATCTCAGAATGTCTTATTCTTCTGATTTATTTTTTCTTTTCTTTCCCCCAAATATCTATGCTCTCCTATGTTATCCACTTAAATATTTCTGTTGCCTGGTTATCAAAAGTACTGACCTATTTAAATTTTTTTTTCCATTATAACAGTGGTACTAGTTTATGGAAGGAATAATGAAAATCCCCCAGATTTTCAGGTACATATGATCTCTAATCCTACCCCAGAGATATCCATTATATAATATATGTAATATTACATGTGTCCAAAAATATGGAGAGACACACACACATACACTGCAATTAAGCAAAATTAAAAAGTGGGATTTAAAACTTTTAGGGCAATATTGTCCTGTGTCATTGAAATATACTTGAAAACATGTATATTAATATCTGTTTGATAGTCTCATTTCATTGTATGGTTGTACCATAGTTTACTTAGACCCCTATTACTAGACTTTTAGGTAATTCCCATTTTTTCTCCTATGTTAAAATAACACTGCAGGAGACATTTTGGTACATGGGTCTTTGTTGGTATCTGTGATTATTTCCTTAAGATAGTTATTAGAAGTAGAACTCTTGGGAAAAAGACTGAATATTTTGGAGAATCTTAATACAAAAGCTTAGTTGCCTAATTGCCCCCCTCTCCCTGAATGATTGTACATAGTTCTGCCAGTACATTAGGGTCTGCATTTCCCTGAAACTTTACCATCACTAAGTGTTATGAAAAAAAATTGAATGTAGTAGTAAATAATCTAATTTTTGTAAAGTTTGTAATAAATATGGTAATCTAGTTTTTAGTAGTTTTTCATTCTATTTTTATGTTCATAAATCTGCTTTTTAGTGTTAGATGCCTCAAAATTTTGTATCCATGTTTCTGTGTATGTATGTGTGTGGTAGGGGTGATATGTTGTAAATGTTTTCTTTCATCCAGTAATAATATCTTATACTAGAGGGGTTCAGGACAGCTCCCCCACCCCCAAGTACCACTTTGGCATGTGGATTATTCTGAGCTGAAGGCACTTGAGGCCCTGAGGGTTCAAGAGAAACTTTTGTCACTCCCTTAACCCACAGAGAAAAATCTAAATTGAGTTTTTTTTCCCCCAGAATAAGGGTTATTAACAGATAAATTTTATCTGAGTGACCCATCTGTACAGTAGGGCAAACTTCTGATTACCAAATATCTGCTCTTATCGTCCTATGAAATGCATTCCTTTCCTTTGGAATCCCAAACTCCTACCCCCTTCTTCATAGTTCACAATGACATATATACCTCATTTTGTCTGTCTTTGTAATTTTTATGTCTGTGTGCATTCCTCATATGTATGCATATTAAATTTGATTTTCTTTTGTTAATCTGTCTCATGTCAATTTGATTCTTAGTCCAGCTAGAAGGACCCTTGAAGGGGACAGGAATTCTTGGCTCCCTGACAATACTATTTGTGCATTCCCAAGCTTATTAAAGATTGAAAACCTCGGGGTGCCTGGTGGCTCAGTTGGTTAAGCGACTGCCTTCGGCTTAGGTCATGATCCTGGAGTCCTGGGATCGAGTCCCGCATCAGGCTCCCTGCTCGGCGGGGAGTCTGCTTTTCCCTCTGACCCTCTCATGCTCTCTCTATCTCATTCTCTCTCTCAAATAAATAAATGAAATCTTAAAAAAAAAAAAAGATTGAAAACCTCTTAGGTTTCTCAGGAATTGTCCCTTTCCTCAGATAAAAGTCTAGCTCCTTGATTTAAGGGTGCTATTTTTGGTACTGCTTTTGCATAGTGTTTTTTTTTTTTAATCTCTAGCACAGAACTAGGTATATAGGAGATAGTAAGTATTTGAACTGAATGCATTCACTCACTTGCATAAACCATAATTTCTTCCTGTAAAGAATATAACAAGCTCTGGAAGCTTTCACATTCTACAATGCTTATATTTTGTCATGTTATGGAGACTAGTTTATTGTGTTACTTACTCATTTCCATAGCAAGGACAGTGATATTATGCCAAGAAAACTCCTCCCGATCAAGGGGTCTTGCAGTCATTAGGGCACCTGTTGTAATGTCAACATAGAAGAATCTTCCAGGGTCACTGCTTCTGTCAATGGAATATCTGCAAAAACACAGATTAAATACACTGTTTTATTTGAATAAATATACTATAGCATATTACTTGAGAGAACTGAGTGCATACTATGTGAAATATGGCTCAGCCAGTTCTGAGTTGTAGACACTTGGAAGACCGCATTTGCTGTTTTATCATGTCCAGAAACAGTCCCCCACCAAAACCCCCTTAAAAACATAACCAACGACAAACTATTACTGCTTGAATTTCCACATTCATAAAATGAAATAAAAAAGAGTGTCAAAGCCTTAGGGCAGTTTTAGCCAATTAAAGATCAACTTCAGCTATTTAAAGCTTAATACTGCCTTAAGGCTTTTGGGACATTCTGAGAAGCAACCCCTGAGTGTCTTAGTTCAAAACAAATTTTATTCACATAAGTTTTGAAATGCTAGATTGGAACTGGAAAAGGTATAGTTCAGTAGTTCCAATCCCTGTAATTAGTATCACCTATTGAGAAGGGAAGATTTCCATGAGGTCCTTTATAAACATGCTAATGACTGACCTGCTGGCAAACACAGTAGTAAGTCCTTATCTATGGAATATTTTCAGCAGGATGAACCAGGTTTGACTACATTGCTTAATGTAAATAAACCTGGGATTTATGAATTTATGGGGCACAGCTTGCTGGAAAATATCATGTGAGCTATGTAATTAATGGGGTATAAAAAGCAGATGTTCCATAACCAAAATGGCTTCTTTTTTGTTCGGACAGTGCACTTCATTGCTTATATCTTTCATGTTCGGTATGGACCAACATGCATCCTTACACAGGAAAAGAAGGATATTTACCTCACGGTTTCAGAACTCTCCAAGGACAGACTGCTTGCCTCATATTTTGCTTTTGTCTCTATCCTTCGAGTCATTATTTATTTTGGGTACTAGGTAAGAGCCACAGTTCCTGTTGAACCTGATTTGGCAATCTAACTCTCTGTGTTCTCTCACCTGGTTCCCATTTTGGGAGATTCAGTAAGTGTGGAGGGAGATTCAGGCATCTGTATATTTAAAATCTTCCATGATATATAGCCATGATTGAGAATCACTTTTTTTTTTTTTTTTTAAAGATTTTATTTGTCAGAGAGAGCATGAGTGCACACACAAGCAGGGAGCAGAGGCAGAGGGAGAAGCAGGCTCCCCGCTGAGCAGGGAGCCCGATGCGGGGCTCGATCCCAGGACCCTGGGATCATGACCTGAGCCGAAGGCAGATGCTTAACTGACTGAGCCACCCATGTGTCCCTTGAGAACCACTCTTGAGAATCTGTGTAGTCCTTGGTAACAGCCAGTAATTATAATAGGTGCCACTTATGGAATACCACATATTTTATAGCTTCTTTTTAAATTTTTATAAAAATTCTAGAAGGTAGGTGTTACCTCAGTTAGCAGAAAAGAAAACTAAGAGAAGTTACTTTCATACAGTTAAACAGCTAATAATTTGCAGAGGTAATATCAAACTACTGTTCAAAATTCTATTTAAAGTTGCCAGTGATTGCAACCATGTCTTAAAGTTGTTGAAACTAAGGAAACTGCCATTTTGATGGGAGTAAGAAGTTTCTTTAGTGCATTATTTTTCAAAATGCAGGTTAGTGAAATCAATAGGCTGGTTATGACTAGTGTTGAAAGAAAATGCAATAGAACATATGCATGCCAGACTGTCACATGCAATAAGGGTAAATATTGATGGTACAACTTTTGTTTCAAATAGGTACAGGTGTGTAGGTATATATCCATCCATCCATCCATCCACACACACACACATAGTATATGCATGTGTATGTATTATCGGGTAAAATATTTGTTCCAGATAGGTATTTTTTTCCTGTAGGGATTCTAGTTGGCTGTTCAGAGAGGAATTAAAGGAAAAAGTGATCACTAAGGGCTGGAGAAATGGAATCATTTCAGTTATAATTCTCCAAGAGTTGTGAAATTTAAGGAAGTACATTAATGCTTTTCTCTGTGACCCTATTTAATGAATACTTACTGTAGCCAGGCACTGCTTCCTACACCTTACATATATTGGTTCATATATTCCTTACAGTATCCCTAGGAGGGTAGGTACTGTTATCTTGGTTTTACAGGTGAGGACACTGAGGCCTGGATTGGTTAAGTCACTGTCCCAAGATTGGAATCAAGCCTAAGCAGTTTGGGTTTAGGTTCCTGCTCCTAACTGCCACTCCGTGCTGCCTTATTGCGCATGGAATGTATGCAACTGTTTAAGGAAACAAAGCCTTATCTCTTCTTGAAATAGACGAAGCCATGATGGCAAACCATTGACTTCTTAGTAAAGAACAAACACATGCCTACAAAGTTCATTTAAAATTAATTGGAGCATTTTTTTTATAGGTATAATTAGCGATTTAGTTTTGAAGTTCACTGGCTATTTTAAGAGTTGAATTTGTCTTTGGGAAAAAATGCAGTCTTTTCTTTCAGCCAGCCATTCAGCGCATGGAGCCATAACCCCGATGGCAGCTCTCCAAGCTGTAGGCATAGTGCCGAGGGGAGAGGCAGCCCGCAGCCTCTATGATGAACCAGCTTTTCACACTCAGACCTACCGCACCATAGCAAATGTCACAGATGCGAGATGGGAGATGGGGTGATAGAAATAGGCAGAGCCCATGACGGTACTGCCTGGTGCCACAGCGAGAGGAAACTCTGCAAGCTTGCCTCCAAGCAACCGTCCTCAGCAAGTGGAATCCCCTTCTGATTTCCCAAATCAGAAGTTCCTGAATTGAGGCAGTCACGGCATTCACTACTCTGAATGAGACACGGGGCTAGTTTTCAGGAGGCAGGAGAACAAATTAAAGGTGTAGATACAGATGGAAAATGAGGAAATTGGGACACACTAGTGAATTATGTAGGTGGTTTTCCTTTCTCTAACCATAATATTCTCACCTATTATGGGAAGAATAGGCATGATATGCACATACAAAACTGCCTTCAGGGAACGATAGCTAGTGTTTGTTGGGCTCCCTGCTTACTTGCTTGGCTGAGGACATACTCTGAATTTGGGAGCGATTTGAAGGTAGGGCGTCATGGGCAGGCTTGCTAAATCCACACACATACACTCTAGGAAGGCACAGGAAAGCAGGCTGTTTCCATACCAGCAGAAGCCTATTTCATTTGCCAAATGGTTTAGTTTCCTGCTTGCCAGAAGTGCCTTGGGCATTTATTAAAAATTTAGGAGATCCTAAATTGTTTAGGAGATACTACACATCGTATTTTTCATGTATATGTAACTAAATCTGGAGATTTAGTTTTGGGATTTACTAGTAAATCATGGCCAGCTTATATGCCTGAACATGCCATAAAGTTTCTAGAAAGGAGATGATGAAAGTCCTTATAATCTTTTTAAAAAGTTAAGTGGCCTTTTATCCATAACATCTTAACTTCAGGTGATATATTGATTTTGGGGCAATTTAAGATGTGTGGTTTTTTTTTAGGAATATAAATCTCATTTATTTCTAATAAAAATGCAGAAGATGAATTAGATAGCCAAGCAGCATGTAACTTGCAGATTATTTTAAAAGAAAATAACTTTTATAGGAAACATAAGGATAAAATGAGCAATTTGGGGAAAGATAACATAGGACAGTAATTTCCAAATGGGTTTATTAAATGATAGCCAAGGATTTGCCCTTTATGTGCTTTTCCCTGTGAGAATTCAGGACTCCTGATGTTCTACTTGAGTCTAGGGACCATTCTTCATTCCTGTCAGACAGTACAAAGAGTCAGGAACCCTCTATCTTGGCAATATGAATTCTCCTTTGCAACCAAAAGGCAGAGGGAGAATTGTCCCCAGGTCTGATAAGTGGAATTCTTTGCCCCCTCTGTCTGAATGCTTATCTTGTTATCTCCAGGCCTGTGGCTGTCACCCTGTTCTTGCCAGTTTCTCTCTCAGGACCTAGAGTTCTGCCCCAGGATAAGCAAGGGGACCTTGCTCCCTGCCTCTGGACTGTTCACTGGTGGATTCCTCCTGACTGGGGTCTGTTGGAATAGAAAGCCTCTCTATTGTGTACCTCCCTGATGCTGGCAACTGATGATTTTCAAAGGCCAGGCATCTGAAGCAGCATTTTCTGTTAGCCAGACAGGATTCTTTATTTTGTGTACCTCATTTTGCTCCATGGCAAGAGTGGATGTGGGCCTGTTGGTGTTTTGCTTTCATTTCGGCATGTGTTTTGAGATAATTAATGACTTTAGTCTTGAATACTGCACATACACTCTAGGAGCGTGTGTGTGTGTGTGTGTGTGTGTTTTCTGACTGCAGTCTCTTTTGCTTGTCATTTAGCAGTGTGACTCCTAACAACTGTATTTCCAGTGCTTACCATGTGGAAATCCAGATTCAGAATCGGGAAAGAAGATGTAGAAGTATCCACTGGATATTTGATTGACTATTTTAGAAATGGTCTCTAATTTTTTCAAGCTTATGCCTGTTTTATTTCTCTCCCTCCATAAAATTTTCCCCACAGTATCTTTTCCAACATGAACAGATTAGCTAATTGATCAGAAGATACATATATTTTTTTCTTGGCTTCTGAAAATATGAATTTATAGAATCTGTTTCATTTATCTTATGGTTGTTCTGGGGATAATATGGTTTCACTTCTTCCCTCCTATTATACATTTGAAAAGCTTAAGGTTGAAATATCATTTCTATAAAGTTGGTATAATTCATACTAGAAAGATTAGTTGACTTCTAAAAATCAAATATCAGAATTCAAACACAATCATTTTAGCCATTTTAATGCCTTCAAATGTGAAATGTTTACTAGTTGGTTAGATGAAGCAGATTCCCCCAGTATAGTTATTCTCAGGAGAGAAGCATCCTTGTTAAACTGAAAAAGCACATTTTCATTAAATGCAAACACTAGGTGAGGGAAGTACCAGTTGATGGGAAAGGCATTTGATAAATTGGGGTGCATTTAAGATGTGTTATATGCACTAAAGCCCCAGATCCATTTTGCCATGTGACTTTCAACAATTAATGTGACAGATGGCCTCAAACAGCCTTGGAATCCTGATGTTTTGTGTCAAGCTTCAGAGGCTTGGCAGTTGCTCTAGAAGGTTGAGGTGTCAACCTGTCCACCAGCTGTTTGCACTTTGGTTCTAGAATTGAGGGGAGGAAATGGCCATGGCTATAAGAGCAGCTCTCCTCCCTGCCTTGATGGGGAAGCATCTTGATTGGAATCTTTAAGTTCAAAACACACTTTGGAAAGACTCATATGTAGGCTTGAAATAGAAAGCCCTATCAGGCCATTCTACATGGCATCGAAGCCATTGACAGCAGGAGTAGTTACCATGTTCTTTTGTAGTATATGGAAATATATATAATAGAAAAATCAAAGGTTCATAAAAATTGAAAGAATGTGCATTGATCACTTTTGTATTCATCACTGAGATTTGACTTTTTTTTTTTTTTTTTTAAGTAGGCTTCATGCCCAGCATGGAACCCACTGTGGGTCTTGAACTCACAACGCTGAGATCAAGACCTGAGCTGAGACCAAAAGTCAGATGCTTAACTGACTGAGCTACCCAGGTGCCCCAAGATTTGACAGTTTTTAACTTTTTGGTGTCATGTGTCTATGCTTTATCTGAATTGGTAGTTGTCAACTGGGGATGATTTTGATCCCCCCATCCCTTCCTCCTCCTGAGACATTTGGCAATATGTGGGACACTTTAAGTTGTTACAACTCAGGGTGCTACTGACATTTAGTGGGTTGAGGCCAGAGATGCTGTTAAACATTGTACAATGCACAGGACAGCCTGTCACAATAAAGAATCCATCCCCAAAATGTCGATAGGGCTATGATTGAAAACTAAGGTAGGGGTGTGTGTGTGTATGTGCGCGCATATGCGCATGTGTGTGTTTTTTCGCTAAACAAATTGACAGTGAGTTGCAGACATAATGATAACTTTACTTCTAAATAACGTGAAAAGGCCATCTTATTTAAACAAGAAGAACTGAAGAGGAGAGTCTTCAGAGAGGGAAGAAACAAAGGGAAAAAGTGCTAGAAAATTAGATACCAGGGAAGGGAAGATTCTAAGGTATAAGAAAGGTGAAATCTGTGGAAAAACCTGATTGAGTTGTTGGTCACATCTGGGTCCTTGGCAGAAATGATCTGTATGGTTGTTCCAATCGCCACATCCTCAGGAACCTCCACAAAATAAAAGCCCGGCTCAAATATGGGGGGCTCATCCACATCTTCCACACTGATGTGCACTGTTGTTGTGTCCTGAAATGGGCCTAGGTTCAGAAAACGCATCTCTAGGTGAGGATTGGCTCCTTCCACTTTTAAGGTGTAACTTTTCTTGCTTTCAAAACTCAGGGGCTGAAAAGTAATGACAGGAAAATTGATTAGCAATGAGCGTATATGTCAAGGTTTTAAAGGCTAGGGGGTACACTTCCAACTTCATTAAAATGGTGGAAAAGAGGCAAAGGGAAAAGCAAGGAGAATTTTTCCTTTGTTCGTAGTTCTTGGTCTTAAGGTCATTTTCAACAAATGGGGTAAAGAAAGTAAGGAAGATCTGGACACTTCAGAGAGGGTGAAGGCAGCCAGTGTACTGATCAGGGAATCCACTGTTACTCTGGGCAGGCTGTACTTTAACCTGCCTACTCTTCAATCAACCTGGTCCCCTTATCTTTAAAGCTGCTTGTTTATCTGAAAAAATGTCATGAGAACTAGGCGTTTCAGAATATCCATATAACTGAGGCCTTGTCTTTTCCATTTTCTTCTTTTAAAAAAATTTTTTTAGATTTTGTTTATTCATTTGAGGGAGAGAGAGAGAGACAGAGAAGCAGGGGGAGAGGCAGAAGCCGACTCCCCACTGAGCTGGGATCCGACATGGGGCTCGATCCCAGGACCTGGAAATCATGACCTAAGCCGAAGGCAGATGCTTAACCATCTGAGCCACCTAGGCACCCCCACAAAAATTCTTCAGTACAAAGGCAATAGTCATTTTTTTTTTTTAAGAAACTACCATAAGCACCTTACAAGGGTTCTCAGAGTACTGTGTCAGATCAATGTTTGTGTAAAGTTTACCATAGATGCTGTCCTTTAAAAATCTCTTTTAAAGACCTAATCCAATGCCTCATTTTGTAGTTGAAGAGACTGAGACAGAAGGCTTGGAATACTGGGTGAAGCAGACATGGTTACATAGTGTTAAAGTAGAAATGCTCATCTAGATTTTTAAATTCTTCATTCAGAGGTCATCTACAAATCTTTAACTTTTTCTAGTAAAATTCCGTGTCATACATAAAATTTTGTGGTTGCTCCTTTTTTTTTAAATCTATTCCTACCTTAAAAATGTTTTATGCCAAAATAAATACAACATTTTAGGGTAGAAAGTGAACTTGAATGTATCTCTTAAGAACAATCCATTTATTTTTTTAAGCTGACAAAATGTCTAAGTGTTTTGAGCAACAGTTACCTCAGAACATCATCAATAATAAAAAAAAATCATGGAAAGTTAGTCCTTTAAGATAATTATAGTGGATAGCAAAGCAGTTATTAAAGCTTAAAAGTCACATATCTACTTGGTAGTGAACTAAATATTCACTGTTGCTTTTTTTCATAAAATAAGCTGAATGTCAGCACATTTTATGTTAGAAAGAGGCATGTTTCCATTTAATAAACTGCTTTGCTTTTGAGAAAAACAGCAGTAGAAGTTGCTTTAACTAAATTAGGTATTTTCAAATCTAACAAAGTGTTTTGTGTTGTTGCTGTTTGGTTATTACTTGTTTTGCATGGTTAGACCCTACATTGTATTCCTTGTTTTGTGGAGTCAGCCATTCCCATTTAAACTAAGCAGCCATTTTACCAGCTTGACTGTCTCCCTAGTTTTTAGTCAAAAGGCAAGGTTTTAGGGACGCCTAGCTGGCTCAGACGGTAGAGCATGTGACTCTTAGTCTCAGGATTCTGAGTTTGAGCCCCACATTGGGTGTAGAGATTACTTACAAAAATAAATTAAAAAATAATTTTAAAAAGCAATTTTTATTAACAGGGAAGTCTGCCACTCAGATTATGATACTCTTGAAGGAATAGTTTTACCAATTTATTTTATTTATACTTACTCTCTAAATCTAGACATCCACTGTGTCCTGGTAAATTACATAATGTTTTCTTGAAATTTTTCCTTAAATATGGGTAACCCAAAGTGGGCACTGTTGTTTATGTTAGGTTTGAGCTAGGTAAAGTTTATTTTCCCCTTAATTTTAAGTCTTTTTTCTAATTTGGTGTAAATTTTGTATTTTTTTTTTAAATTAAGGTATAATTTACATTAAAATTCATCTTTTTTAGTATAAAGTTTTGAAAGTTTTGACAGATTATATAGTCATGTTTCCACCATGATAAGATATAGAACAGTTCTATCACTGCCATTACCCCTTGCCCTGTGTCCCTTTGTGGTCAGCCCCTCCCCACGGCAACCACTGATCTATGCTCTGCCCGATTATAAGAATGTCATATAAATGGAACCATTCAGTATATACTTTTACAAATCTGGTTTTTTACTTGGCATGATGCATTTGAAATTCATCCATGTTGCTTTGTGAATGAATAGTTTGTCCTTTTTTATTGCCAAGTACTATTTATTGTATGGGTGTACCACAGTTTATTTATCCATTCTCTACTAGAGATACAGTTGGGTTGTTTCCAGTTTCTGATGGTTATGAATAAAGCTACCATGAACATTTGCATACAGGTTTTTCTGTGACATAGATTTTTATTTAACTTGGGTAAAAACCTAGGAATGGGATTGCAGGATTGTATTGTTAAGTATATTTTTAACTTTATAAGAAACTTCCAAACCAATTTTTAAAGTGGTTATACCACTTTGCATTCCCACCGGGAATGTATGAAAGTTCTGGTTGTTTAACATCCTTGTCATTATTTGATTTCATCAGTTTTTCTGATTTTAGCTGTCCTAGTGGGTATGAAGTAGTATCTCATTGTGGTTTTGATTTGCATTTCCCTAATGCCAAATGATGTTTAACATTTTTATGTATCTTCTTGAAGAGTTGGTTACGTGTTCTATATTTGAGTCCTTTATCAGACATGTGTTTGCAAATATTTATTCCCAATCTGTGATTTGTTTTAACAGTGCTTTTGAAGAGAAGAAACTCTTAATTTTGGTGAAATCGTATTTATCACTTTCTTATTGGGATTTTGGTGTCATATCTAAGAAATCTTTGCCTAGTAACGGTCACAAAGATTTTCTTTCATGTTTTCTTCTAGAAATTTTATGGTTTTAGTTTATTACATTTAGGAAGGTAGATGATCCATTTTGAACTTACTTTTATAGTGAGGTATGAAGTGGTTTTTTCCACATATGGATATCCAGTTATTCCAACACTATCTGTTGGAGAGACTAAAACGAGTTTTTAATTAAAGTTTTTTTAAAAATAAGTTACCTAGTGATGATTACATTAAGATTATTGTCTCTCTCACTTAAATAATTGTATTATTTAAAATTGAAAGAAGACATTGTCCTTAATACTCTAAGCTTTGAGTTGCTCACAAATGAAATACGAGTTTAACTTTTCTCTCAGGAAAAGTTTTTGTACTTATTTTTTAAAATCAAAGAATTATTTCCATAGTCATAATAGTAAATCCAAGAATAGTAATCTCAAAACCTAAGTTCCAAATTCAAGAAATTTCCTAGAGTTAGAGCACATAATAATGAAGAGGCATTATAGCCTTGAAAATTGAGTCACAAAAATTGTGGCACAAAATAGTAATGCAGCTTTTTTAGGCAGGATTATTTATTCCTTCCTCTGTTCCCATAGCGCTTTTGTCATACTTACATTATGGTTCTTTTTTATTTTGTTTTACAAATGTTTCTTTGCTTGTTGGTCCCTTTCACAGACTCAAGGGCAAAGGCTATGAATTAGATTTTTATTTCCCAGTGCCTAGCAAGGGTCTAAAACCCGAAAGGCCGCAAAAAAAATGTTACATTGAGTAGCGCAAAAAAGCTTTTCAGTGCAAGTATTAACAAGTACTGGTTAGGTGATAATATATACAGATTTTATGTTACAGTATTTCAGTGATTTTAAGGTGTGCATCTTTTCATATTTTGACATTTTGGAAATAGGGTTGCTTCTCCAATTGATGGCATCTTACAATTGCTTTACACCCAATAGGAGACAGGATGCATGCATTTCAGTTGAGTTCTGCACATTGTGGATACTACATGTGTTGAACTTCACTGCCTTCTAAAATGTCTTTAGAAAGATTGTACTGTGATACGACATTGAAACAAGAATTGTTATATGGGCAGAATGGCATGGAAACAACAGCAGGGAGTAAATCTGGTATTAGTGAAGCACTTATGTCTGTGTCAACAAGAGCTTTTTCAAAAACTATAAACTAAGGCAGAAGAAGGCATTGTATCAATTAAATTGCAAGAGGTTTTTTTTTTCTTTTTTAAGGTAGTATCTAAAACCGTGATGTAATTTACATTTCATGGGCATCTTAGATTTGATGAACTATAGAAGTGTTGCTCTGTGGACTAAGAGGAAAATGGAGTCAAACCAGTTGCTTTTATTGTATGCTGGGAGATGGAAGACATGCTGAAGACTGGAATATGGCATAACGGCATGCTCATCTAGAGTAAAGAGCAATCTGCAAAATATGTATTTCAAGTTATCTTTCAAGTATTTGACTTAAGAGACTGAAAATCAATTGATTGATTACTTAAAAGCCAAAAAGACTCAAGGTACTGGGTAGTAATCAGTGTGGTTTTATGAAGACCCAATTCTATCAATTTAACTTAATTTTTCTTTTTGAAAAAGCATGTGCTTTTTAGACAAATAATAGGGCTTAGGGAAATAAATCAAAAACAGAACTTCTGTTTCAATTTTATACGACATTATTAATGACAAAGTAGAAGATGGGTGTGGATCAGGCATCTGAGTGAATGTTGTTCCAAAAGTACAGACTGAGCAGTCAATAGCCTCTAAAGTATTTATTATATTTGACTTGTCCATCTACCCAACTTATTGACCTCTTTTTTAATTCCATTTTCTGTCACCTCCTAAGTTCAGAAGAGAAATCCAGATGACCTTGCCCAAACTGATGTCTGTTTTGATTAAACAGGGATATAGTTTTAGTAATGACAATGAAAGACAGCGTTGTATCTTATGAGGTTTAATCTTTTCTCCACTTAAGGGAGCTGGAGAAAACAGCATGTCGAATTTCCTTTCAGATACAAAATTATAATGGTTAATATTTTAAAAAAAGGAATGGCTTGTAATAAGGTATAAGCTATATTCTAATAATCTGACATAAATTAATATTATTTAGCATTATCTTGTATATTAAGATACAGAATAACATTTAAAATATATTGAGAATCCCAAAAACTCTTTTTCTGATTGCTTAATTGTTTTAAAGAAAATTTTTGCATTAAAGAATCAGTAATTATCTGAAGCTTTGAGCATTTATCTTGTTTACAGTTAAGGCATACCACATAGTAGGGGAATGTTCTTAATCCTATGTCATATACCAAATTTGTATTATTATTTCTAGTCATCTTTTATACTTCTAACATGTTATTAACTCTAAAGGGATGAGAATAAAATAAAAAACTGTAATATTTAAATTATATTCAGATTTATTTGATGATTGTGAAGTTAGTATCAGCATTTTACACTGTTTTGAGGTCATTGGGTGCTGGTTGTAAAGATTTTGGGTTGGTGGAATGCTGAATATATCTGTTCTTTTGCTGTATTTGTATATTGCTTAAGTGAATACAGGACAAATATGTGAACTCTTCCCTTCTAAAGTAGTGTTAATTCAACTCTGTGGAACAGCATATAGTAAAGTTGTTATTAAACACATTAACTTGTGCCCCATTCTAAGTTATGACCGTTGCTTTCATCAAGGTCATTAATGGTCTCCATATTCCTGAAGTCTGCGGTCAGTTTTCAGTGTTCTTACATGAATTTCAGTAGCCTTTGTCTTTCCCTTCTCCTGGAGATGGTTTTTCATGCCTTCCAGAACACCACACTCCCTTGATTTTCTTCCTATTTCCCTGATCTCTCCTTAGTCTCCTTGCTTATCTTTGCTCTTCTCTCTGACCTCTTCATGTTGGGGTGCTGTGGGGCTCATGTCACTAGCATCTCCATCTATGCTCAAGCCCCTGGAATGTCATTTTCTTGTATTTGCTTTACGTACCATTTATATGCTTGTGATCCCCAAATTTGTATTTCTAGCTCAAAACTCTTCTCCAACTCCACACTCCTATAACCAGCAGCTACTACACATCTCTACTTGGGTAACATGTCCAGAACTTAATCCCAATATTTGCCGCCACCTGCCACCTTTTTTACCTGCAGACTCCCCCGTCTCAGAGGCAGCTCTGTTCTTGTTGCTCATTTGACTTCTGTCTTTCTTTCATGTCCTCATCCAGTCTGTTAGGAAATCCTCTTGACTCTACTTTCAAAATTTATCTGGGTTCTGTTTGCTTCTCACTGTCTCCATTCCTACTACCCTAGGCCAGGCTACCATCATCTACCTAGATTATTGCAGTAGTCTCTCAGCTGGTGTGCCTGTTCCCATCCTTGCTCCCCTTTTATGGTCTTTTCTCAACACAGCCGACAGAGTAATTATTTTATAATGAAAGTCCAGTTATGCCATGTATGTTTTATTTTTTATTTATTTTTTAAAGATTTATTTATTTATTTTATGGAGAGAGTGCAAGAGCATGAGTGGGGGGAGGGGCAGAGGGCGAGCGAAAGAAACAGACTCCCTGCTGAGTGTGGAGCCCAGTATGGGGCTTAATCTCACGACCTTGAGATCATGACCTGAGCCCACATCAAGAGCTCGACGCTTAACTGACTGAGCCAGCCAGGTGCCCCACATCATACGTGGTTTAAAGCCCTCCAGTTGTTCCCTGCTTTATTGAGAGGAAGAAGTACTTACAGCAGCCTATAGGGTCCTATGCAGTTTGGCTCCTTTGTTACTTTTCTGACTTTTTTCATCTATTGGTCTTCCCCTCCAACTCAGCCTTATCAAACCCTTTGCTGCTTTTGAAACAAACTAGGCAGAGACCCGTCTCTGGGCCTTGGCACCGGTTGTCCCTTTGCCTGGAACACTTTTCCGCAGTCACCATGCCCATTCCCTTGTCTCCAGGGCTGCATGTGCAGTTCTCACGGAAAGTCATTTGTAAAGCACCTCCTGGGGTTGTGCACTGTCAGCCTGCCCAGCTCTGTGCTGTGACTACCCACGTTAAATCTTTGTATAAATGTCACTTCTTTGTGAAGCCAATCCCAAGCACCCAGTTTAAAATTCGAAGTCATGTTGGCTTTTCTGATATCACTTTTGTTCTGTTTTACTCCTCCCCACCATAGCACTTACCACTTTCTAGTATATTACTTTGTTGGTTTACTTGGTATTTTGATTGTCTTCTTCCCTTTATTAGAATGTAGGCTCCATGAAGGCAGATATTTTTGGTTATTTTATTTACTCTGTATATTAAATGCCTAGAATAATACCTGGCACATAGGGAGAAGCTCAACAAATATTTGTTGAATAAATAATTTAAGATACCTTGGGTTTTTAGATGTATTTAAAATGGAGGAGAAAGAAGATTAAATCAATGAGTTTTTAAATTTCATCACATATATTTACTAGGATATTAAAACTTCAATTTTTTAAGGTTTTATCTTCCACCCCAATATAGCCATATGTGCTTTATGCTACAGAAAAACTTGATAGCTTACATTCAGAAAACTTGGTAATTTATGAAGCAAAGGAGTTGCAAGTGATAATACCACTCAGCAGCTATGTTTGACAAAGCTTTTCCAAGTCTAATTAGCATCTATGAGATCTTTTAGTAGCAATTAAAAAATCTCTGTGTGTTATTTATTGATTCATAAATAATATCATGGCTTGGTTTATTGTTATTTATGGTACAATAATAGTAAAAAATGAACATTATTCAACTGAAAATATTGATCAACTCATTAACATCATTAGTGAATTAAACTACAATAACTTTTTTTAGTGGTTAAGTAGTGAGCTAGGAGAAAGGAAGTATTTATAATATATTTTTATCATGACATGGTACCCTCTCTGTAAAATGATCACACAGCCAGTGTTTACATGTAAGCAAAAGGAGTAAGAGGTTTGTTTTTTTTTTTAAGAAGTGGAAAGAATGTTTATCAAAGGATTTGAAGCAATATGTATTAATAGCCCAACAGCCCTTACTAACATCTCATATATATTCAAAGCCTCCATTAACATGATTTGGAAAGAGGAGTTGGATTACCTTCTTCACAGTTATGATGCCAACTTGGAAATTGGGATCTGTGTTAATGTCAAAGGCATCTGCACCATCTCCATCCACAATGGTGTATTTCATCTCTGCATTGATTCCTTCGTCCAAGTCCTTGGCAAACACTCTGCCCACAGTGGAGCTAACTGGAGCTGATTCCAGCACACTCATCTGATAATGTTCTGTGAAGAAAGGTCAGAACATGCATTCTTGTAATCTGTTGCTATAAAAAATGCCTTGGCAGTATAATCATATCATATCAGGCATGCTGGAAAAGATGTCTTTCTCTTGCTTGGTTCAAGAATTAAAACTTGAGTTTTACAGAAGAAAAACTGAGATCCAAAGAGGCTGAGCCGACAGTAGGTCGTCTTAGCTTATACTGGATGTTTGATAAGGAGGGGCCAAAATAGCTTGACCTAATCCTAAGAATACGACAGAATAAAAACAAAAATATTTCTTATCTCAGTGAATCCACCTTCAGAGTGGAAGGAATTACCTTGCTTTCCAATCTTTCAGTCCCTCCTCATGAACTATCTCCCCAAATGTTAATTCCTTCTGAGAAAGAAAAAAACATTGTGATTGCAAAGTACATATTTATTCTGTTCAAACTTGAAATGCCCACATTTTCCTTTGTGGCCAAGCCAGTGTATGGAGTTTCCATCTCTGTGGCCACCTGCCCAAATTGAACGGCCATCAGTGATCTGTAAAGGAGGAATAGCCACAGAGAACAAGCTCCCGCCAGCTCCATGTGTCCATCAATGTGTCCTTGCACTTGGTTCTGCCCAGTGGAAATCTCTGTTGTTTCTTGTTCTCTTGTTCCAGAATAGAATATGCCAAAAGTTCTCACAAATGTAAGAATCTCAGGGTTGGTAATGTTCTCCTTCTCAGCTTCACAATTAAATTTAGGTCCTTTTCATCTCCACAGAGTTGTGTCTTCGCTCACTTACCTTCTCTGGGGCCCAACTTTTTGACATTCTTCATTATTTTGTCAGTCAAAATGTGACTGACTAAATAGCAAAGAAAATCACACAATCACATTTTCAATATGTTCATGGTCTCTTTTATTCTAATATGTATTGCAAGCTACAGGGAAGCCTGGGATGTGAGGGCTTGATTTGGGGAGGTTGACAGCACCCAACCAGCTCACAGCACCCTCCCTTGCACAGGAGGAGAAGAAATAATGCCTGTTCTTTGCAAATACGAGCCAGGAAATTGCTAATGTCTGTAGTCAGCTGGCAGGCACTTGGATTTCATGATCTCTTTCCATTCTCTTCCAAAATTGTTGATGGATTAGACTTTGCTATTGCAGAACTTTTAGGAAAAATAAACAAGTATTTTTCCCACACCAGGAAAGCTTTGTGTTCTGTGTTTAAAAAAGCATATACATAAAATTTCTACATGTGATGCATTATATTAGAAATAAATAGCCTGAGATCTTGATATTCCATTAAATTTGGTTCAGTTAAAGGTAACTAAGCTTGTTCAATATAAAATAGTAGGAGTGTCATTTTGCCAACATCCCATGATCAGTTATGGTAAGATTTATAACAAGGAAGGAAAATTGAATTTTTAAAATGAGTAATTAGAAGATTAGTAAGGCAGAGAGTTTATCCAAGGCAGGTTTATGGAATAGTGAGATCATTTAAACTTTGTTTTAGCAGACAGATGGGGAGATATTTAATGGTGAGATAAAGGCAATTTTTTAAAAGTCCAAAAATAATTACGGTTTTAGAGGAAGCAGAGATGATGCACAAAGAATACTTGCAGGCAGATTACTTTTATACATTTACATTTCATCTTCTCTGCAACACAGTCCTTGCTTCTGCTCTATGCTAGATTCCCCATTATCTTGAAAAAGTGGTAACTCGAAATGTTTGCTTTAGAATGGGTGTTAAGATGTTGGTTTGTGGGGCAGGACTAAAACTTACCTGGTTATCATTGTGTTGTGTTATGCTGTTGTAAAGTTGTCATGTTTGGGGTGATTTGACTTTCCTGCAGTTTGTCTAAATCCACATACTTACGAGCTCTGTAATAACTTGCTGCTTTTGCTCTTTCTGTCTTCATCAGAGATACTGTCGAGTGTCAAATTTAAAAAGCCGAATAGGGTAGTTCAAGGATATAGTCTATAATGTATGCAATGTGAGCCATTCATGAAGTGATAAAGATAGAACCCACACAAAGTAAGAAGCCAGTCCATATGGCATTTCACAAACTGTTCCATGATGCACTGTATTGTAGAACTGAACAGCTTAGTAGCCTACTTGGTTGCACCACTTGTGAAATACTTACCTAGTATTCTGCCTTTTTGTTTGATGAAATATCATGGGGTCTTTGTGTATACCAGTTGTATGAGAATATTTGAATTCCCTTCCTGTCTTTACGTAGATAAAAGAGATGACTCACTTGGTCTGGCTGACTCAGAAATTAGCTGTTCAGCTGATAATCTGGTTTGACTCTGTGTTTAGTTTCTTTTCTTTTTCTTTTTTTTTTAACCTGATTTTCCTGGTCAGGTCTTTCACGTGGAATTGTGTCTACTATTCTCATTTCTCCAACTGCTCCTTGTAGGCATCTGATTCTCAAATTCACTTCTCCATTCCTGGGCTCCATCCCACAGGTATAGCTCTGTATTTCCACCTTCCTTAAGGACATTCAGTCAGATTGTCCTGCTGTCACTTCATATTCAAATGTGAATTTGTCTTCCTCCTTCCCTGCCACTGGTTCCATTATGCATCCTCTATTTCTATCAGTACTACAATTCTATCCCTGTCACCCAGACTTAAAACATCATAGTCATCTTTGACTCCACCCTCTGTTGTGGTTCCTTCAGCCAAGAAATCAGGAGGCAGAAATCTATGTTTTCTTATTTGTCCCACTGCACTCTTTCTGCTGTTTCCTTAAGTGCTTATCAGTTCAAATCCCAACCATTCTAAAAGCCTCCCTGATGGATTCCCCAGCTTCTAGTCTCCACTCCTGCCAACACATCCTGTACATGGCTATCAGATTAGCTTTCCTTTAGGTTTCTGTCTTGCTCAGAAACTTTTCAGTGACTTCCTTTAGAAATAGAACACATTTAAAATATAGAAATATTTAGAAATATAACACATTTAAAATACTAAAGAGCAGGTCTCCATTTTTAGGGGGTCTTTGAACATAAAAATCACATTTGCTACTTTATTTCCAGGTCTTTATACTGTAGATACATATTTTTCCCTTACATTATATTTTCCCTTACATTCATGTTCTATGCGAATGAGTTCTAGGAGAGCAGACATTTTGTTTTGTACACTGCTCTATATGCCATACCTAGATGGTGCCCGAAACAAATATTTTTTAAATGAATGAGAGGTTTCCCCCTTCTGGAATGTTTTTCTTTCTTCCTATTTAAATATTCTATATTTTTTAGTCCCCTGTGAAAGTATCATCCTTCGATGAAGCCTTCATTCATCTTAGTTTATTGTGAAAGTTTCATTCTGTACTAAAGTGGTACAGCAAATGCTACTTCTTGGTTAACTTTTGATGAGTGTGGAATATGTACTCCCCAGCTGGATTTTAAGCTTCACAGGGACAGGGACTAGGTTTCAAGAATCTTGTATCCCTCATGCCCAGTGCCATTAGAAAGCAGGTGGTTGGTACTCTTGTGAATTGACTGGTTAAGGTAGTCAGATGGGCCACTATGTGTTTACCTTCAGTTTGGCTTATTTTCTATGTGTGCGTTCTCAACAGGGCAGTATTTTATCCTAGGGGGCAAACATCAGTTTGGGGAAGGGAGAGATAGGAACATAAATCTTAGATGCTACAATGGTTTGTGGCTCTCTAAAGTTCAACCGTACCCAACAAAATCTTATTCCTTAGTATTTAATTTTATGGGGTGGGGTGCAGGGCGTGGAGATCAAGGGGAAAAAAAAAAAGTCTACAAGAGCTCCAGAGAGAGGTGATAATGAAGGAAGTGAGAAACACTGGCTCAGTGCTATGGGATGTTGGGACCCAGAAGGAAAATGGTGATGTGAGAATTGCATGATAAATGTAGGAAGGGAACCCATGAATAATTGAACTTAAAGAGGAACCCAGGCCTGCCTTTTTCTTTGTCTTCTGTAATAGGTGCATTCCTCTGGCTGGAGAGCTATACTCTCATTGGTTAGGTACTCACTCTGGGGAAAGCGGGGTGGGTTATCATTGACATCCAAGAGGGTGATGTTGACTGTTGTGGTCCCAGCTAATCCTCCAAGCTGCCCTCCCATGTCCTTGGCTTGGATAATCACTTCATAGTATTCTTTGGCTTCTCGGTCCATGTTCATGAGTGCTGTCCTAATTACACCTGCAGGATAGAAAAGACTTTTTTAAGAACAAATCCACCAATTCAGTGTTTAAGATCAGCTTCTAGGTTTCTCCCTTGTGCATTGCTAATATCTAGAGTCGAGATGCAAATCATTTATATTTTATTAAACTTGAGGTCAGAATTCTAGCTTCAAAACAGTACTGTGCTTAAACAAATGGTGAGTAAACACTGTTCCAGCAGGAAGAGCTGAGGGCCCATTTCCTTTGGCGACATTACCGAGAGAGAACAGGAGGTGGCAGCAGTGGTTCCCCAACAGAGTTTGGGACTCGCAGTCCAGGCCAATTTCAAGGGTCTCTCTTGTACCAAAGAAAACTGGGGCTTCGGGTCCCGGAGAACAAAACCTCGTATGTCTGCAAATCTATGATTTTAGATAATTCTCTTTCAGCCCGCTCTTTCTTTAGCCCCTAGGGCCCTTGTAGCGTGAATGACTTTTCTTGAGGCAGCTCACTGCTAGGCTGCTTGTCCCTGCCTCCTCAATACCTGTAAGCAGGGTTGCAATTCTGATTTGATTTTCCTTTTGTTATATATTCTTTCAATTTTGTTACGTTCTGCTTACCTCTGTGCTTCACTGATTTCCGTGAGCTGGGACATGAAAGATGCTCTGTTGAGTTGTTCATTTTTAACATGCATAAGGGCTGAACTCCCCCAGACAGTAAGTAGCAGTATCACAGTGTGATGATACAGTTTCATTTGAGAAGAGGCGTCTAAGTCAAAAGCCAGTGAACTGCGCTGTGTTGATCCTGCCAAGGATGTGCTGTAATGTTTTATCCCCCTTTTAGCCCTGCTACGTAGAAAAGTTGGCTTCTCTACACTCTAGGCAAAGATTAAAGGCTTATTTACTGCAAGTTTACAGCATGACCCTTGGCTAAATAGACCTTTTGCATGCAAAGAGAAGAGACTGGGAACCACAAACCTGTCTCCAGTTTACTCCTACAGTGTATATATTGCATTATAGTCATAACATTCTAAAGTGAAATATGCAGCATTTTCCTTTTTTAAATGCACAGCAATAACTATCTTTTCATGTATTTTTGACCTTAACACTAAAGATGCCCCCTGGGAGCTGTCAAAATAATGTAAGGTTCCTCTTAGGATATAAAGGACACATTACCCTCTTCCTGTCTGTATTTGTCTTCCCTGTGGGCATCCCCCCCCCCCCCCCGCTTTCCCTCCCCCTCCCCCTCTGTAGAATTGTTAAAGTTACTGTTTTATAGAAGTCCCTCACTGCAACCTTTTTTCTTTACTCCTAATAATTTACACTCCCTCACTTTCTGATTTTATGATATAATTTTCTGAATGCCTGGTTCCCCTTAGGACTTTTGGAAAAAAAAATTCTATCAGGTTGCTAATAGAAATGTATTTTTTCTCTTTCAAATGGAGAGGTGACTTTGAGTGTTAACCATTTACTTTACCTCTGTGGCTGTAAGTTTCTTTACTCAAGTTCCTTGTTAATTACCCTTAGGTCTTCAATTTTCCTGTATGGAAATGGGAGTAACAGTCCTCCCGTGTATTTCACAGGTTCACAAGAATAATGGGAGGCTCAAATATGGTAATGTCTGTGAAAGTATTTTAAAAGGAAGAAAGCTTGGCACAAGTGCAGGATAATCATGATAAAACATAAATTCTGTAGTCAAAGCTCTCAGGTAAAACTGAAAGAAGCAAAAAAACACAACCAAACTTCTTTCGATTTGTCCTTTTTTGTCACATTCCTTTTTACCCATCCAGTTCTTTATGCTTTCCTCCCTGTGAGAGCTTCCCACTCAGCACCTGCTTTTTGGGGGGGGCACATCCCATGCTGTGAACTCTTTACCCCCTCAACAAAATCTGTGTGTCCCAGCATCCATTTATTCTGGCCGTGTTCTCTATTTAGTACAGGGTGGTTCAATGGGAAGAACATCAGACCAAAAGTCAGGGGACACATCTACAAATAGAAGCACTTTATTAGGCCTCAATTCCCAATTTCCTTATTTGTTAAGTGACCGGTAATGGACTGGATGATTCCCTTAAGGCTCTTCATAGTTTCAAACAAAATCAATGATCTTAGTTCTCTAGTGAGCGAGCCCAGGTTAATGTGTCAATCCTCTCAGGTCTTCTTGGAGTGATAAAAGACAATCCCTGGGAATAAATTCAACTGTAGGAGTTATTGAAGGCTGGTGAGGATGTCCCTTTGTGTAGGCAGGCCTTTTGGCCTCTCCAGTCAGACTCTGGGCAATGTCTAGACATAGTGCTGCTCTTACCCACCAGGGCAGTGCTGGTTTGCTGTCTTAATCCTAACACCTGTAACAGTCTTCTTTCGTTAATACAGTCCCTAGAGAGTCCTTGAAAAGGAGAGTTGGGTTTGTCATAAGTACCAGTTTTGAATTAGTAGGGCATAAAGCAACCACCTCTGACGATGTGCATCACATACCTGTTTTGGAGTCCACAGAAAAATATGGCTGTCCCTGGAGAATGCTGTATACTACCCGGGCACTGTTGCCGTAGGTCGGATCATCAGCATCTGTGGCTGTCACCTGGATGACAGAGGTCCCTGAGGAAGAGAGATGGTGGAAACCTGTTCAAGTTGAATTGGTAACGGCTTGGAAGCAATGCTGAATAGGCAGTCGTAATGCATTTGCAATTGTTATGTTTGGGAGAACCCCTTTTGAGGTCAAGCTTCCATAGCTCCTAACTTGTGCCTCTCTAGTGAGACAGGAGTTATTTGTGTTTTAAATTCTTAGTAACCAGTGAGAACAACACAGCCTTTGGGTTCTTCATTGCTCTTTTATAATACCAAAATGCTTCTCCCTTATGAATCATTTATCTATCTGTCTATCCTCTATCTTTTAAGAATCAGAACTGAATAACAATGCTAAGCTTATTATTACTATTATTTTTTACTATGGCTGATTTCATTGTCTAGTTTCCTGCCTAGGGACTTGGTTGTCATTTTCGGTCCAGGTTTATAATTTGTGAGCTGTCCTGCACATTCTCTCTTTCTTTGCATATAGAGAGGAGGACCTTCTGTAGAAGAACTGCTGTCTGTGAGAATCAGTGACTCTCCACCTTACCCACTGGTGACATTTCTGGCACAGTGGCGACATAAGGTCCATCCAGGAACTTGGGCTCATTGTCATTGATGTCTTGGATTTTGATGATGAACTCTGACTCTGGCTCCATTGGTCTGCCGGTCCGCCTGTCTAGGGCTTGAGCCCTTAAAGTGTACTGGGCCCTTTCCTCTCGATCAAGCCTCTGAATGGCATGGATGTCTCCCGTGGTGTCGTCAATGGTAAACACGACACCTGCACCTTCTCCTGAGAGGATGTATTTGATGGATCCATCTCCCCTGTCCATGTCTGAATGAAGCTAGGAAAAAAAACAAACCCGGAAAGCTCATGGATATGAACAGGTGTGGGAAATAAATTGATTTTCACTTTGGTCCAAACTTAAGACCTTCTTTCAAATAGGAAGAATTTTTTTTCACTCAAACGTTTTAAAATGTTGGTCTACAAAGAATTAATATATATTGAACATGATTGTATCAAAGACCAAATATAGATTGATGAATAAGTAAAATTTTTTCACATCACATTCAGTATCCTGAACTTACTACTGTATTTTTAGGTGCCTTTCCCTGAGAAGTATAGAAAACAGGAGTTCTGGGAAGTATAGGCCCCCACCCAACATGAGAATAGGAGCAAGTCTAATAAGGAGGAACCTAGCATTTCCACTTAAGAAAAAAAAAATGGACAAACCTAACCTTTTAAAATAAGTATTTGACATAAACTGAGTTTTAGAGTTTCAAAAACCTTGTGATGATTCAAGTTGCCTGAAAAACTGATGAACTGATGAATAAATAGGCTATGGCCACTGTCCTGGAAACTGTAAATGACCTCCAGGGACTCCTGCAACTCTCTGATTCTGTGGTCCCAATTCAGTAATTTCATTCAGTAGGACTATGTATGCGTGCCTCTGTTTCGGGTGTCAGAATGGATTTCACGGCCAGTTGTTGGTATTTGCATCAGTGTATCTCTCTTTGGTGGGACCAGTTCCTGGGCTTGTAATTGAATCACTCAAATCTATATGTGGATGGCTGAGTTAGGGGCATGCTTTTATCTGCCCATCCAACTATGTTATCTCCTGGATTACTTTGTAATGAATGATAAGCACTCTCAAAAGGAGTCCAGGGCACTATTTTCATATTACGCCTGGAAATACTTTTTTGCATCTCTAATTACAGATAATGTTTTATGGCAGGAATCCTGAAATTTTGTGTTATCATATAAGTAACAGTCTCTCTCTAAAGTGGGTTTTAGCACTTTGCATAGTTCAGAGATTTAGTTTATAAAATGGGCAACCAGTGTTAGCCTTAGACTAGTGGGGGCAGACGTATCTGGCCTAAAACATGATGTCAGTTGTAAGTCGAGGGCCTTTGACAAAGATTTGAACATTTATTACTCTCAAATATTTAATATTATAAATGTGGAGAACACCATTAATACTTTGAAAGGTTGTTGGGATCATTAGAAATTAATGTATGTAAAGCACCGAGCACAGCGTCTTTCCCATAATAGGAATGCTATAAATGGGGCTGATTATGATGATGATAATAATGACGGTGATATGCATAGAGAAAAGGGTATTAGCATGCCCAGCTCTTCTCTGCTCCCTTCAAGCTTTCGGGAATGTAGCAGAGACTATACAAACAACCTGTTGGCTTTTTTATTATGCATAGTCTAACGGGGAAAGTGCTGCCTGAAGCGTTGCTAGGACAGTGTTACTCTGAGGATTAAATGGCAGAGACACCAAGAGGACACCTGAAAATGTATTCACAACATCCTCAGACAAGGATGGATTTGGAAGTTGTGGCTGGCTTTGAGTTGATCTCAGATTGACTCATGGCCAAATCATGCAGGCAGCGATTTTGCCGCCTAAAGGAATTCAGCTGTGTTGTACCTAGAGAGGGGAAATAAGAGAATAACATTGACCAAAAAAATTGCTAGTGGATTTTTTTTTCTACTTAAAGAATTCTATTTAGAATACGAAATTCTCACATTTCCTCATTCCATATACAGTATTATTATTTTTTGCGATCCGAATCTTTTATTTATGCAGTTAAAAAAACCAGAGGTGCCCAACTCTTACTGTGTAGAATAGAAAGCCATTTTATTGGGACCCAGTCATAAAGAAATGAAAATCCATTCCATCTGGAACTGTTTCCAGGCAAAGGAATGGGATTGGGAGGAGGAGGAGAGGAATCTCAGGATTTTTTTTTCTTTTTAAGATTTATTGATTTATTTGAGAGAGAGAGGTAGTGTGTGCACAGTGCAGAGGGGGGACAGAGGGAGAGAATCTCAAGCTGACTCCTCGCTGAGCTTGGAGCCAGCAGGACTTGGTCTCACGACCCCTGAGATCACAACCTGAGCCAAAGCCAAGTCAGACACTCAACCAACTGAGCCACCCAGGGTGCCCTAGGGTTTTTTTAATATAAAAAAAAAATGCTGTGTATTTATATATGTAAGACATGTAATCCTAAGGCATGTGGCATAGAACTTTTACTTATAATGAAATAGGTTCATTTAGGGCATGGCAGATTATTTAGGGGGAAGAAAACAGAATAGAAGCTGACATAAAGTACCCAGGACTGTTTTGAGGTGTTCTATTTATTATCTAAAAAGTTTTGTCCTGTGGTCCTTAAAAAAACTAAGCGTACTTGCTGTTATCACAGGCCAAACTTAAGTGAGTATTGTGCCTATGGAGAGTGCTTAATAAGTAATAGAAGGCTCAAATTGTTGCTGCTGCAGAGGTCCTGGTTCCTTAGGAGCCATTCAGCTGACTGATGTTAGTAGAGTGTGGGCTGAACATCAGATCTGTTATCTTTTGTTTTTGTCTGTATTGGGAGAAGAATTTGAGAAATTCTCTGGATGGTAAGTTCCTTGAAGGCAGGAACCATGTGGCTTTCATCTTCATGTGGATTTTCACATGTAGCAAATGCTCAATAAAATTGTATGGGATGAGTGACATAGGGTATAGGATTAGGGTTAAAGCTTTTTGTGAAGTGTTACCTTTGTTTAAAAAGAGCTAGCAAGCATCTTTCAGATAGCTTCTGTGTGTGTGTGTGTTTGTGAGCTCGTGTGTAAGAAGGAGAGAAGGGAGGGAGGAGGGGGCGAGAGGACATCCACAGAGAAGCATGATGAGCCTTTTATGAACAGGGACAAATGGGGACCAGCTATGACAGGGACCAGAATCTGCTTACACAGAACTGTTTCCTGAGGAATATAATTGTATCATTTCAGGGTCCAGTCAGGGAACAAAACCTAAACCAGTTATTTTAGCAGAGCAAATTTAATATGGAGAATTGGAAAGGCAAAAAGGGAACACTGAAGTTTTGGAGGGTTAGAAACTCCAGGAAACAGCTAGTGTCCCTCAGGCTGGGGGCAGAAGGCAGCAGTTGGGGCTCCTGGAATCTAGATGTTTGGAGGAGGCTGGGCCTGAGGCCTCCGAAGAGGGAGTGCTGTCGCCTGGGGCTGCGGCTTCAGGAGCTTGGAGGAGGTGCCCCCAGCACCCACTTCTCTCAGACTTCAGACCCAGATTTCTGAGAAGGGGCTGCCATCCAGTTGTGCTGATCCTTCTGTGGGGGTGTGATGAGGCTGGTGCTGGGAGTGTGGGGAAGATCCAGGACCTGGAACCACCTGTTGGCTAGGTAATAGGAACAAGTCCCTTCTCCCTCCTCCTGCCTCTAGTTCTCTCTCTAGTACACTCTGCTGTCTGAACCCAACGGGGAGCTGGTCGGAAAAGGAGAAACTGGCTCGCAGAGTCCTAGCCCTAACTGACATCACTACGGGGAGTATGGGAGGGTGAATACAGAGCTGAGAGACTCTAGCTTAATAACCAGCATGGTAATGTGCATTTAATATTAGGGTTTACCAGCAGTAGAATACACATTTGGTTACGACAATTGCAAATGCGAGGCATTGATAACTTTCCCTTAAGTCACTCAGCAAATTGGCAGTGTAATAAAATGTTTTATAATTTATCCATATTTAATTCAGCTCATGTTGACTGAGTACCAGCTCTTCAGAGGAAGGGAAGGAGCTTCTGGAATGGAGCTGGCAGCACATGGTTATGTACATCTTGGGAAAACATTCTTCCTCCCAAAATCTAAACAGAGTAAGATAAGTGGATATCCTACTTATCCTAATAATGCTTTAGTTTATAAGATCTTCAGCCAAAGGAGTAGTGAAAGATGGAAAGTCCAGGTAGTTTATGAAAAATCTTAGTTGATTTAATATCTTAAAAACAAGGGTGATTTTCACTCTTTTTGTCATCTTTCATAGTGCCTTGTACAATTCCAGGAGCACAGTAGTGCTTATACTTTGTGGTTAGACAGCTTCTGTGTAGCTGTTAACCTCAGCATGCCTTGGAACCACTGCTTCGTGCCCAAGCACAAGCTCTCTGCATCCCACTCTTTGCATATGTCAATATAATCTAGCTTTAACTCGACACTGCCTTGTCCCTGGAAAGCCCAGTGTGGATTTTATAAGGCCATACCAATTACAGCTGATAATTGTTGCCATACGCCTCTGATATAAGCAAATACTCAGGCAGGCTCTCTAAAAAGACATCTTCCAGAGCTCAAGGTGACAAGCTAAATGCCCCTGGGAGAGAGGGAATGAAAGGTGGATGAATTCTCTTTCAAAACAAAGTAAGGGGGGGAAAGTGCCTGGGTAAGTGAATATATAACGTGGAGTAACACCCCACTTCACTGGCTGCTCAGTGTTGGCTGGATGAGATGGCTGTCGAGATGCCCAGGGTGTTCTGTGTCCTGGGTTGGGGTGCTTAGGAAAGAGTGGGCTCTGATCATGAGTACTGGAGAGAGGGTGCTAGACAGCTAAGTTCCCAACGTCGGGAAGCAGTTGGGCTTGGTTGGATTCCTGGTGCCCTAACACCCTTGACTCTTCACTGTATTTTTCAGGGCCAAGTCTCAGGGCAATGGAAAGGGAAGCCTGTGGCTGCAGTGTCAGATTTTCTGTTACCTTCTTTGTAACTTGGGGCAATAAGCGTAGCCTCTCCGAGCCGTGTTCCACAGGCTAATTATCTGAAAGTGGTGAGTCACACTTACCTCACAGCACCGTTGTGATGATTAAATGATCTGCTCTTTGTGACTGTGACTGCCACATAGTCCTGTGGTAGCCCAGTAAAATGTTAGATACCTTCGCCTTTCTGTAGGGTCGTATGTCCAGCCTTGTGCTGGGTACTCAGTGTTGGGGAAGTGTAGGGAAGGCTAAGGATGGAATCTCAGCTTCTACCCCTGGGAGAAGTGAAGAGGGCTCTAGATTGTACAAGTACACAAAGCCATTACTGAATACAAATAAATGTATTTTCTTAAACTTATTTTAGCAGTAGCCATGTATGTCTAGTTGGAAGAAAGATTTTACAAATAACGAGTAGCTAGAAGTCTGTGGAACTCTGAGCAGATAGAAGATGTGTTCATGATGGAAATGGCTTTTAAGCTAAGGCCCTGAGCAACTGGAATGTGATTGAACAGAGAGGTGGTGACAGTGTGTCCTGGTCAGGGCAGTAGCATGAGTACATGTCTGTGGTGGGGACAAACGTGGTATGTGTATCAGGGCCAGTGAGGACACCAGCATGACTGGGATCAGGACTAGATTTGTGAAATCGTAGGGGAGGGCTGGATAAGGGAGGAAGACTCATGTTCTGCAAGTCCTTGAACTGAGCCAAGAGCTCTGATAAGCATTGGAGCTCCCACGCGTTCTTAATCAGAGGAGTGACGTGATGGAAAGTGTGCTTTGAGGAGATGAATGTCCTGAGTCCTAGGGAGTGGGGACGATTCTCTACCGGGAGACGGGCAGTGGCTGCTTAGTTAATCTAATCATGAAGAGCAGAGGGACCACGGTAATGACAGAGCCTGGAGAGGATGAGGTGAATCTGAGAGAAACTGGCAAGGAGATTTTGACAGGATGTGGTGACTGGTTGTACATGAGGGAGGGAGAGAAGGAAAGGAAGAAGTCAAAGCGAAGTCACAGATTTTGAGACTAGGAGATTTGTGGCTGCATTAGGTTACACACATTACTGAGCTGCTGAGTTCCCACAGCAAAATCCCTATCTACCACTATTACTCCCACTATCACTACTATGCTTACAGAGTAATGATCATTAAGATCTTACTCTTGGACCAAGTCCTGTGCTAAGCACTTTACATATGTTAGCTTATTTAATCCTTATGACACCAGGAAGTATTAAATATCTTTTTAAAGCACCTTCTATGTGACAGGTACTGTGTTAGGCCTTGGGGATAAAATGGGAGCTTATAGTCTAGTCCAAGGCTTCAGACAGTACTCATGTAAATAAACAAATGAATTAGATATTGTAGGTTGTGATGAGAGCTCTGAAAGAAATAATGGCCGTGAGAGAGTCTAACAGAGGGGCCTACCTTAGGGAATGGTCAAGGAAGACCTTGATTCAAAATGAGCCCTGAAGAGTGAGGAGAGGCCAACCACAAAAGAAGCCAGAGGAAGAATATTTTATTTTGGGGGAAAAATCAGGCAAAGCTTGGCAAGTTGTAGGAAGTGCCAGAAGGCTATGTCCCTGGAACACGAGACGAAGGGAAAGAAAGTGTGGCTTGCGATGTGGTGGGAGGACAGGGGGGAGCCTGGGTCAGAGAGGAATGGTGTTGGGAGCTGTGGGGAGGAGTCTGGGTGATTCAAAGTACAGTGGGAGGACATTGATGTAAGCAGAGTGACATGGTCTGATGCTCATGTGTGGAGAATGGATTGGAAGAAAGTGTGGGTAGAAGTGTGGAAACTGGTTGGGAGTCCAGGTGTTTGCCCAGGTGAGAGATATCAGTGGAAATGGAGGTGGGAAAAATGAAGGATTTGGGATGTATTTTGGCAGAGGACTGACAATTTGCAGGTGGAGAGAATGTGGGGGCAAGAGAAAGGGAAGAATGACCACCTTGTATCTGGTTTTAGAAAGTGAGTGATGGCAGTGCTAAAAGACTGGGGGCAGACCTGGTTTGGGAGAAAAACCAAGAATTCCTTACCAGATATGCTACATTTGGGACGGCTTTGAGTCATAAATGTGGAGCTGTCACATATGCGTTAGGGTTTATGAGTCTGAAGCCCAGACAAGTGGCCTGAGCCAGAGATGGAGGCTTTGGTTTAGAGGTGGTGTTTAAAACCATGGGGATGGCAAATCCATCCAGAGAATGAATGTGGGTAGAGAAGAGGCCCAGGGCAAAGTTGACAAGCTGGACCTCTAATGGATGGGGTCATGTGGAGGGAGATGGCCAGCAAAGGGGCTGAGAAGGAAGGAGGGAAAGACGGGATTGTGAAGGTCATGAGGCAGAGAGAAGAAAGTGAGTCAAGAAGGAGGGACTGGTCAGCAGCATCTGAGGTGGTCGGTTCCATAAAATGAAACATCAAATTTGGTAGTAGGGAGGTCCTTGGGAGCACTGAAAACACGACTTTAATGCAGGGGACAGAAGTCAGATCTGAATTCAGAAGTGGGTAGGAGTTGAGGAAAGAGCTTATGCAGACAACTCTTTGAGAAGTTGTAGTTCTCTTGTTATTCCCATTTGATGTTTGAGGAGACAAGGCTAATGCGGCTTCAGTGCCCTGTCCAGAGTCGTTCTGGAAGCAATTGGCAAAGCTGGGTTTTGAACCCATGTGTGTTTGACTCTGAAACCCACATTCTTAGCCTCTGTGCTAAATAAGCGTTTAAGTTATCATTTGAATGAGTTATTTATTTTCTAATTAGGTCCTTGTTTCCCATTTTCTCTCACTTGGTTGCTTTCACAAAATGGTCTCTGATTAACATCCAAATAAAGTAAACACCGGAGAAAGCCTGGATTAAAAATGAAATGATGATAGATAAATCAAGGGAATTCGAGTGTAAAGTTTATAAATATATTCATTGATTGTCTCGAACTATTCTAAAGCACATGCTAGGATCTTCTAGAATGAAGAATGTTTTATTCTTTGTTTTTCCCCCCATTAAATTTAGGCCCCAGGCAATACCTGTGGAAATGCTTTGGGGGAAAAAAAAAACCCAAGCAAAACAAAGGGAAAAACCCCTCTACTTTCTCCTTTGCATTTTCTGGTTTTTTTCTTCCCCATTCTGTTATTCCCCAAAGCTGCTGCCGCTGCCTCTCATGGGACTCTAATGGCTCTTGCAGGGTCCCAGGCTTTTTCTCCAAAATCCCAATTCCTTGTTTTCTCCCACTTTAGAACAGAGGCTTGAACAAGGGGATAAATCTTTCCTTTTCTGACTGGTATCTGACAAAGCCAAAATTAGATTTCAACTAGCTGTTAAGTAACATACCACTAGTTATAATTGTTCTCAGGACTCCCAACACAGGCTAGGCGACCTCTCTTATTCAGTTCATATTTGTATTCCCTTTCAATATTTGATACCCTGATAATTAGTCTGTGTGGCCATTCTTACCTTGCCGACATACAAAGGGTCAGTTCCAGTATACTCTTCCAGAACAAAAAACTGGTTCCAAACCCAGCTCCTCTTTGTCCGCGAGTGTGACTGTGGCTTGTCTGACAGGAGTGCTTCTAATTTGCCTGGTGGTGTTGGTGTGCCCGAGAGAACGGCGGTCGTAAGGTCCATCAGTCCCCAGAAGTACAAGGACATGCCAAGTCCCAGCCAGCTCTTTGCATTGCTCATTCTACCCGAAGTCCACATGGGATTGCCAGGTTTTCAGAAAGTAAAGTACAGGATGGTAAAGCCACTGGAACTTGAGTATTTTCCAATGCAGTAAAAAAATACCAATGCAGTTTACCGGACACTTACGCTTCTCAAAGGAGATCTCGATTCAAGTCAATCTGCTTGAAGTTGACTTCCTGTCAAGTTAAGGAGAACACACTGTGATGATGTCAAATCCTCTCCTGTGGGCTTATAGCAAGTTCTCAAGAAATGTCAGTAAATATTCAGTTCTCTACTCAACGAATTAAAGAGTCATAACATGTTATTGCTTTAGAAATGTTTGAGTAACAAATAATATTTTAATAAAAAGAAGACAACCTATCTTGCTATAATCAATCCCAAACCTTTGGATATGGATTTCAGTGGGAATAAAACTGGTGAATAAATTTCTTCTCATTGGTAACATGGCTGGAGGGTTATGCTGTATTATTGATTGGCTTGAATTAATAGTGTGTTCTTTGAAATATTTATGATCAGACAGCCTTCTAAACTTTTAAAAACAGCATTCATTTCCAAAGTTTACAGCTAATAACTAATATTTTCATTAGCCCAACTGTTTTTCTTGGCTCATTAAAAAGCCCAAAGCAAATCTAACTACCTTTTTTTGCTACCCACAATTATCTTATGTCTATCCCATGTTATTGATAATGTTAGGGATCTCGGACTTCATTTATAAGCAGCCACAGATCACTTCTGACTTAATCATTTTCTGAGCTCCTGGTAGAATTTGAGTTTCACACTCTACTGCTTTGGCTCTGAAGCACTGAGAGGGGCTGCTACTGTGACCTTTCTAGGGTTTGAATGGTCAGTTAATCATTATATCACTCACAACAGACTTTAAAGTGCTCTTAGTCACATGCTACTCTGGGCATGTTAAGAGAGGCTAGCCAACACATTTTTTTTTCCTGATCTGAAAGACTCATTTAGACAAAGGGATGTTGACTTCTACCCTAGGGACACCTTTTCATCAGTCAAACTTCTTTTGTTGCTATGAAGGCAGATTAGCTGGTGACCTCACTCCTGGACTGTGACCTCATCCACCTTTTCTTCCTTTACTTTGGCTGGGCGCAATGAAATGGCATGGTGCTCCCACCACTCTGTCAAAACAACCAAAATGACTTCTGTGGGGTTGATATTTTCACTGTGAACCTGGAGAACTGTCATCGTCTCAGAACAGATGTGTATATTTGGGGATTTCAGACCCATGCAACTAAATAATGCTCCGTTTCTATAAGTGGTTTAAAATGAATGCGTTGATGGCATCTCAGTTACCACCTTCTACCTGTCACCATCAGAACTCGTTTTAGTGTCCTCGCCAATAGTCACTGTTGAGATGCACAAAAGAATTAAAAAATATATAATCATTTCACACAATACGCCGTTTCATTTCTGTGTGAGAAATCACTTCAATGAGGGCGCCTGGGTGGCTCAGTTGGTTAAGCGACTGCCTTCGGCTCAGGTCATGATCCTGGAGTCACAGGATCGAGTCCCGCATCAGGCTCCCTGCTCAGCAGGGAGTCTGCTTCTCCCTCTGACCCTCCCCCCTCTCATGTACTCGCTCTCTCTCATTCTCTCTCTCTCAAATAAATAAATAAAATCTTTAAAAAAAAAAAAGAAATCACTTCAATGAGAACTGGGGGACAAGCTGGGGCAGGCTAAAGAATTTCTGTAACCGAAGGGATGGCTGTGCCTCAAGTTCTAGCTCTTAAACTCAGATTGACTGTTAAGTAAAAGCAAGCTAGGTGTGCCTTATTTAGGGTGACGTGTTTGTTAATAAAGAACAATAGTGTGCTAGAAGGTCAGTTACCAAGTATTGGCGGTTTTCCTCTTTGGACTGATAGACAGAAACCCAGCTCATGTTTCTCTCATGCTTGTCCAAGAAGAGATGGTCTGAAAGAAGGAGTCTTAACCTTCTTTTTCATTAATCCATGCAACTAAATAATGCTCCGTTTCTACAAGATTAATGAAAAAGATTGGTAAGAAACAGCTATGCTGTTTTACGGACTTAGAAGATGGACTAAAGGGCATGACCCCAAATCTATCACCAGAATACTGTGATGGATGGTCATAAGGGAATATTCCATGTGTTGCAAGGCACAAACCTATCTGTAACTTCCCCAAAGAGCACTAGGCTGAGTGTCCCACAGTTTGTCCCCTTGGTTCTATTTTCATTACCTCTTACTTGTTCATTCTATAAACTTCTGTTCCTCCTGGTAAGTAGGGACTGATAATTCTCCTGCCTACTTCACAGGACTACCTGAGGATCTCTCTGCTAGGATAATGTGGGTGAACATACTCTGTAAATGACTGAGGTGCCAGCCAAGCAACCATGGAAGGAGAAGTTACTTGGGTTGTGTGTTAAAAATGGTGAAGCTGAGCCTGAACCACATTTCGTGGGCACTTTTTGAACGAACATTCTGAAAGGGCTTAATGAATATATATTATTTCACAGATTTCTACATCTGGGTTAAGTACTTGGGGTATTAGAGTCTGGCCTAGCCTAATTCTGTAATAACCACAATTATTTTTTTCCCTATAAGGGAACTTAATGAAGGACTAGCTGTTAGAAAACTGTAGAATAGAGAAAAATTCTTTTTTTGGATTGCATTTATCAAAGCTAGAACTCAATATATATACTTTTTAAAATATATTTCATGTCCGTGTTTCACATGTGTACATTTTGCCTGAGCATTATTTTTTTTAAGATTTTATTTATTTATTTGAGAGAGAGAGAGTGAAAGAGAGAGCACGAGTGAGGGGCAGAAGGAGAAGCAGACTCCCTGATGCAGGGCTCAATCCTGGGACTCCGGGATCATGACCTGAGCCGAAGGTAGATGCTTAACTGTCTGAGCCACCCAGGTGCCCCACCTAAGCATTATTTTTGACTATTTTGTGTTTTCTCTGGCTGATTTCAGCATCTTGCTTTTGGATTCTAAGTGCTCAGGTGCAGGCGTGTTTGTGCGTGGGGGTGTGCAGATATCCCCTTTCCTGCTTGTACTGGCTAAATTTTCTGGACAGAATGAGATTTGAGGAAATTTTGTGGGATTTTAAATACTGTCCCTTATATTCTCTCATCTCTTACAAACTAGACATGCATTCTTGCCAATTAAAAGCCCCTGTCTTCACCTCGGTGTGATCTGAAGAGCTCAAGAAAAAAAAAAGGTGTTCTTTGGAATCTTTGTGATGAATATTTTGTAGGCAGTGCGGCTGCCTGAGCTTTCATCTGTCTCTTCTGCCCACTTTGGCCTCCTACACATGAGTGCAAAGCCCTCATGTTCTTCCCTTTCGCTGAACACGTACGAGAATGGCTTTAGATGTTTAGGACCTGTGGAGCCCTCGGTGACCCTGTGAAAGCCCAGGTGGTCCGGGTGCCCCACTCATATTCCCCCTTACACACATCAAATATCAAAGCCCGCAGCGCCTGTAAACTCTTTTTGTGTTAAATAACTTGATAGCTACAGTTGATGGAAAGCACTTTATTCCTGCTTCCTCAGGGCAGAATGCATGAAAAATACTCCCTGCCTAACTTTTCACAAAGTAAAATCTGGGTTATACAAAAGTTACATTATTCTTTTCACAATTAGAGCCATTTATACAAGCGAAGGGAAGTCAGTTCTATCAGAAATACTAACCAGTTTTCAGCTGTTGTAAAAAATACGGTTCTCATGTTCATGTTTTTCCTACGGGATAATAGTAGTGATGATCTGTTTGAAGGTAGGCTAATTCTGTTCTTGTAAAGGAAGAAGCTAATATATGTATATTTGCGTGTATAGATCTGCTTTGGAAGACCACATACACCACACAAAGAATACATTAGTGGAAATTGACTTCTGTGTTAAATGAGTCTTTTAAAAGTTTTTCCCCCATCCTGCCTGAAGAAAGCAAACAGCTTGGTAATGAACACAGTAGGAAGAAATTAAAGTTGTGGATAAAGTGTGCTCTTGGTGAATTGTTTATTTCATTACTTAAATTCGTTGTGATATTTAAAATGTAGGGGGAAGGGAATGTTACCGCTTTCTCCTTGAAATGAACTGGGCTTTTATGGTCTCTCTCTGATTTCTTTCTTCATTATTCCAGTTTTCCTGAGCTTTTCATGGTTAATGGAAGTACTGCTCAGTAAAGCTCAAATGACATCTCTGTAGAAGCAGAAAGTCAGTTGCCTCTGCTGCTGACTCCCCCTTTAGAGGGAAGGTGTTTTAATTTTCTGATGCGGCCTCATGCCTTTAAGAGGTTAGTATAGACAGTGGTGGTGTGGTTTTGGGTAGCTAAACTTCTTAAGTTATCACTTTTACTTATAGAAAGAGCCTTAAAAATGTACTTAAAAAGAAAAAAGAAACCTTGTGAAGATCCTAGATATGGCAGGGGGATGTGACTGCGTACCGGGACACATGGCAGCATTCAGTCAGAATGCATCTCAGCGTCACCATGCTATCCTGCCTCTCAATCAAAGGTCTCACCTGAGAAATAGGAGCAAACACATTTTACTTAGGAATCACAATTCTTCAGTATAGAATATAGAACCCCTAGAGAACAGAGCAGGTGGTTGTGGTATAAATTGGAGTGAAAAATTCATATGATGGTAGTATCTTTGAATATGTACATTTCACAAACAACAAGATACCCATTGTGGAATCCTATAAAGAAAATATTTTCATTGCTCCTATGAACAGACTTGCAGCATTCCTGAATCTGGACGTGTATGTCTATACTACTGATGACCAGAGTCCACCACTGGGGATGTGTTTCGGGAAGGGTGTTTACTATGGTTTTGTATGCTGGAAGATGAGACACTTCTCTGACCTGAAGTCTTTTCCATTTACTACAGATGTGCCATCTTCAGTTTCCTCCTGGGCAGTCTGTCATTAAGTGAGTAGAAGCTTCATCTCTCTTTTGTGGCCATCAACATACCAGCCTACGCAAAGCTACCCATCTGTGGAGGCGACTGACCCTTGGCAGAGCCAGAAGAGGTTGTCCAGGTACTAGATTTCTTGGATTTGGGTTGTGCTCTCACTTCCACTCCCCTACTCCACGCTTTACCTGCCTCATGATACTGTCCCCAACCCCAAAGTTAGCATTTGTGAAATGGATATGGCTTAGAGTCAGTGTGTACATTTAATGTGGTCATATTTCTTTCCTC